GTGGAACTCAATTAAATGCGGCGACACAGTTATTCTTAACACTTTTTTTATTGTTGTTTTTACTCGCATGTATTTGTGTTTGCGGAGTGCGTATCGAACGACTTTTGTCTGCCTCAAGCGCAGAAATGAGGATCACTTGGCGATCACTTGAAGTTTTCGGCACAGAACACTGTCTGTTTGTGGCTGGTGTTTCTTACTTGAAGACAAAATGTGCGCTGCTTATACACTTTTATACTAAATGCGCTGTTACAATTTGAAAAACTACACGCCAGCCAGCTGATCAGCACCTACGACTAACGCGTCAATCAACACAGACAATATTTTCTTTTAGTTTTTTTTTCTTTACTTTTACACTATTTCAATGATGCTCACACTATAAATTTGCACTTCAAAGACACTGCTGTAATTGCTGATGATTTATGAATACTAAAAAAAATTAATGAAAGAAAATTTTTATTGCAATTTTTGTAACAACAACATGGCATTGATCGCGTAAGTTCTCATAATTATTCACTGGTTTAATCATCCATAAACTCTGCTTGTTTTTTTCGCTGAGAAATTTCAGTAAATTTTTTCTTTATAAAAATACTAATTTCCCGAAGTGATCTACATACTATATAGTCGCGCGATCACTAAACACTACACTTGTTATGGCGTACGTCCAACCCGTACGGCATTTTGAAATATGAAAAAATATAGTAACGCTCTCTGCGCCACCGATCAAAATGGAATCGCAAATGTAGCGGCGGAGATGCTTGGGAGCTTTGTCTGTTTGGATTTGTGTAATCTGCTTTTGACGGGCAATTCCCAATTAAATTCCAAAAGTTACGAATATTGATTTTCCACACGCTGCTAAATACGTTCTACGCATGCCACTCAATATTTACTTTTTCCTCTTCTTCTTCTTCTGCTTTAACTCATTCAAAAATACGGAACGCGGAATCGCGCGATCTCGACGTATGCAACGTTACGCTCAAACTAAAATATTTTCTATTTGATTCACACAACACACAGTGCAATGCAGGCGGCGTAGTGATCGAGACGCGGCAGCGTTAACGACGGCGCTGCGCGCTGACTTTTGTCTTTCAGCGATCAAACAAACACACACTTGTAGCGAAATCTGGCGGCAGCAGCGACTGCGACGCCACCAACCCACACATACTAAACCATTGGTTAATAGTGCGTCCGTCGTTGGCGGCAATGATAACAATAACAACATACGTATGTGTAATAAGAGGAAGAATAACACAGCTTGTACACTCAGCAAAGTAAAGTATAAAGCAGAAAATTCAAAAAAAAAAAAAACAAAAAAACTAGAAGGAAAAAAACATTTAAGTGTACAACAACAACGACGCCCATAACTAAGCGACTAGTCTGGCTTTAGTGTCTGTGGTTTGCGAGTCGTTGGGTGAGTGAGTAAACGTGTGGGCCCCAACCAACGGCACCAACGGACAGTGGAGACAATAACCCAGAGCCGGCAGAGCCAAACAACAATTTATATGTATTTGACCGTATAGCAGACAAATCGAAAGATAGTACGAGTACATAGTCGGGAGCTGGAGAGTTTTAATTGAACGCGACAGCGCAAGCAGACGTACGGGCGGACGGACGAACAGACAGCAGGCACCGAGAGGCAAGGGGTGCACTGACTGGGCACTAAATGACTGTGTGTCTCCAATAAAGCTGGCTCAGCCGGTAGATGTTTTTGTAGCTACTGCTGCCGCTTCAGTGCTTGTTCTTTCCCCTCTCGTTTTGCTTTTTGTTCAGTATATTCTTCACACTGTGCAATTTAAATCACCACTTGACTTGTACGTTGGCGTCAGTGTGTCGGGGATGACGATCATGACGGCGACCACGACGATCACTTGCCTCTTGATAACCTTTTTTTGTTGTGTATTTATGATTGCCTGTGAAAAAGCAACAGATGATCGTCGCTCAGCGCTTCAGATTGTGTTGTGTGCGCGTTTTTTTTGTTCATTTATTGCGTTGCATTTTTTTTTGCTTGTGAAATCACACGCACGATCAGCTCCAAGCGATCGCGCTGTGTGATCTTTGTCATCGTAGAATTGATTTTTGAATTCGCATTCTCATACGCGTTCTCAGTAAACTTATATATATACTTCATTAATAATGCAAAATTCATAAACTTTGATTCTTAATAATTTTTTTTGTGCTGGAGCTTGCCAGTTCTCGAACTTGCCTACGTCGCGATCATCAAATCACGCAAAAGAGAAGAAGAAATTTTCACAGAACGATTGAATTTGCGAGTATAAATAAAAACTTAATTCGAAAAAAGCTAAAGAACCATCATTTTTAGTAACCACTCACAGAACGTTCGCCGCGACAACCTTTTATAGTGCGACTGAGAAAAAAAATGCGCTCCTCCAAGTTCGCAAGAATTGAAGACGAGAAGTCGACGGTGAGCATGCCAACAATGAACGTTGACAGATACGACAAAGTTTACGACGCCGCGAAGTATGTATGTGGCCACGACTGAGGAAAATGTCGACGACGACGACGACGACAACAACGACCAACGTAGAGTCGGTCGCCCCAAACACAACAAAGCAGTAATTGGTGGTGCTGGTGGTGGCCAATAGACAACAGCAATTACGAATACCGCGAACGAGTTTAACATAGATGACAACACAATACAACAAAACATGAATAGCGAACAACTGCTAGAACTAGCAACATTGACAGCAATAGCAATGACATGACAGCCGCTGAATAAGCGATAAGAGTGCGCGTAGCTACGAATAAAGAAAGAACGACACAAATTAAACTATGCACAAAAAAAAATATAAAAGAAATAAAAAGAAACAAACAATGAAAATGAAAAGCACATAAACCGAGTGATAAACGAATATGACGAAGTAAGAACAATGTGTTTGTTGAAAACGAAAACCATTTGCTTACGTAGAGAAACTACGTGACGTAAATACTTACATATAGACGTACCTAGTCCTATGGAGATACAAGGGGGGAGTTGATGAATCGCGGGAACCTAATTGCAGAATAAGATCAATATTTCTGAAATATCCAGACTAACAAAAATAAGTTGGATTGAGATGGAATGCCCAAAGAAACTTTAACTCTCTGCGGAGCGTATGGAGGGGCGCAGTTCTCGAAACAGCGTATTGTTTTTAAATGTGTGGCTATTCTCTTGTTAAAGCTATTAAAATGACAAGGCTATTGTGATGGTCAGAAAGTTTACCCCATGCTAACTCTGATGTAGACTTTCCTACACTAATCACCTCTTTCATAGCAAATATAATTTTATAGGGAACTTTTGAAGAAGCAGCTTTGTTTTTTAAATATATGATGGAATGACGTAAAACCATTCAACTGAAAGGATTTGGTTATAACTTTAAGGCCTTTTTATATTGCAGTAAAATTTAAACCCCGAAACATTCTAATTTTAAGTGACCGATTATAATTTTCAAAAGAGTCGGTAAAAAGGCTTCTTAATTTAAGCGAATCCCTGATATCGATACTGGTGGACTGCTAACCTCTTTGACGTTCGAGAAAGGTGAAGGATTGCTTAACCTATTTATCGACTGCAACGTAATAAAGTATTGAGCTCGTTTGGTTTCTGAGTCACAGCGAAATCGCTGAAAACTGCATGGCCGATGAGCTGGCATAAGAGGGAACCCTTGAGGAAGTGCTCCCGGATAGAGAAAGTCTGGGTATTCCACTGACCTTATGTGGTCTACTACTGGCCAAATTGGCGTTTGATCAGCTAATCGTGCGCTGTGCGAAGGAATTGGAATGCAAGGTGATTAAATCCTTCGAGGCTCGAGTAGGTCGAAGGCGGTCCAGGGAGGTCTCCACAGAAAGCAAGTTACACCTACCGCTATTGGTGGTTTTAACTGGTCACTGCATATTATCGATGAACCTTACTCATCTCAACATCTGTTGCTCTGGTGTCTACTCGCAGGAGCGATGAAGATTTTGCAGGACGGATATCGAAGCTGCACAGGATGCATACCTATCTTGGAAAGGTGTCCAAAACTGATGCGCAACGCGAAGAGGGATTGTAGTGAAAATTAAACGGCGGCAGATTAGATATCCACGAAGGGGTACAAGGGATGTTAAGGTCGCAATGCTTTATACCCTACAATCATAATAACAATAACAAAATCCAACCTAGCCTTGGTCAATGTTGCGACGTCACCTAACTTAAATTAACCTTACTTTTTATAGAGAAGATCGGTGATCTGCGTGACCTATCGCAAATTAACCATGTACCTACCGACATGCACACATACATATCTACTTATATAACAACATATTCATACCTACATATGCATAGTATGTATGATATGTGATATTTATTCCGATCATGCTCAATCAGCGCTCAAGTACCTAGTCACTGGGTATCAATGATTGATTTCTTGCGAGCTATTCGAAAACTAAATGATCGATCAAATTCACAATTGTAAAAAAGAAATTAGGGATGTTTCGAATGTCATATTTTTCATATTTGCGAATGTGCGAATGCGGACTTTCAGAATGCGAATGTGCGAATATTAGGAATAGCATTACAAAAGCTATAATCAATTTAAGTCATCGTTTTTATTACTTAAAAATTTTGTAGCGCTCAAATATTTGCGGGCCAGATCTGTCAATTTGTCGTATTTTAGTTTAGTTTCCCACCAAACGAGAGAATTTTCACCGAGATGAGCTCGATTTTCTTTAAGATACGCCTTCAATTGAGCTTTAATTCATGTATTTTACATCCGAGCCTTCGCTTTCGCTGGAGGAATCTAAAATTACTTATAGGTTGCTTATAAGACTTTAGCAGTATATACATACATACTTGTTGAAGACCCATCAGTGTTGCTTGATATACCTACTAGCGCCTGAAGTTAAAAGCCGGTTATTGTCCGCAACCTGGCTACAACAACAACAACAATATTAGAGTAGACACTCTGCCCATGTACACATTCGCATTCGCAGAACATTCGTACCATTTGATGCGAATGCGAATGCGAATGTGCAAAATGATGCGATTCATTCGCATTATGAATGCGAATGCAAATATTCGCAACATCCCTGATATGTATGTATGTAAATAGCAACGTAAATGCCAACCAACCAAGCAACAATCAACTAACCACTCGACCAGTGTCTTCATTTGCGTAAAACACTATTCAAATACTACA